CAGTTACAGAACTATTGGAAAACCTGCAGGGAGTACTGAACAGCTGTTTCGTCAGCCTAATTTGGGACTCTTTACCAGTACACACCCACCTCTATGGTTCGAACCCAGGACCTTCTGGTTACAAGGCGAGCTAGCTCGTAGACCGTTAAGCCACTGGGATCCGATCCAGTGACTAGCCCATGAATTCTAACTTCTGCCAATTCACGACATAGCATGATCACTAGCCAATGTCTTCGGCGAGTATTCGTCCTCTTACCGGACCTGCTGCACCCTACTGGTCACGGCTTCCCACTAGAACCCAGATAACTACCTACCTGGAAGAAGTTAGAATTCGTAAACCATTGGATCAGGTCCCAGTGGCTTAGTGGTCTACGAGTTAGCTCGCCTTGTAACCAGAAGGTCCTGGGTTCGAACCCTCGAGGTGGGTGCGTACTGATGAAGAGTCCCAAACTAGACTGACGAGACAGCTGTCTAGTACTCCCTGGTTTCTTATGGCTCTCTAACCGATGCCAGCTCATGATGAAATCCTGTAACCGAAATACGAACGTACAAAATTAATGGTCGGATACATTGAAAATTGAGCTGTATAGTCATAGTAAGAGGAGAGAAGTTGATGATGAGTAATAGCGTGGTGAGTTTAACTCAAGTTGTAGGAACAAAAGCGACTGAATTACACTAAAGCAAAAAGTGAGGGGCGTGGGTGAGTGGGTGAAAGCAAATGATCAAGTAATCAATTGAGACAAAGAGATGAGACGTTGAGTCACCAAGGCAAAGGAAGACGAATAAGTAAATCTTTCTGAACACATAAGTCAGGTTTTAAACGTTGAATAATGGTTGCTTCGGCGAATTTGAGGAGAGTTGAGTTGTATTAATCATCATCAACCTTTAGGTTGTAAACAGCTGAAGAGGATGCAACGTAACAATCGTATATAGTTCCTGTTTATAGTATCTCCGGTATTTGCATGAAAAATAAACAAACCGACAAACAGTTTCAAAAACTGTGATGAATAATCGAATTGTAACTAGGGTAGTGAAGATTGGTAAGCAATTGACAAGTGTTGCGTGCTCTTTCATTAACATGTTATTTTTCTGGGTGTCTTTCATATTACCGATCTTTACCACCCTAGTTACAAACCAACAAACAGACAGACAGACGACAGACAAACAATGAATATATTCATTAATAAATTCTTTCTTACTACTCGTCATGGCTAATAAGTAATCACAGCACAATCTAATCAATATTATATGTGTTGTATATATCGTGATCAAAGGGTATCTAAAATATTGATTACTTTGGTTGTAATATCAACGACTCTGATAATAATTGAATATCTATTTCTATACAATAATGACGTTAATCATGCCTAATACAGGATAGATAATATGAGCGAGAGAGCTCATCTTTTATTATTTCGTGATATCTTTTCAACTGCTCACACATACAACCTAAACAATACAAACATATAAATTACAAAAACACGGTTTTGAGCATACTTTTTTCGCGTTGATGACAAGGAATTATTGATTGGAACTATAAAGAATATAAGTCGTCAATGATGTATATGGTCACTATTATTATTATTCCAAATTTGTCGTCCTTGCTTTGCTGTTTACGAGCGGCGGGCATTCACTAATCTCACCTCCGCCAACGTTTTCACCTGGCTCCACGTCTGCCCACATGCTTTCATCTCCTCGTCGCATGACCTCCTCCATGTCACCCCGCCCTCGCAATGATGATCAACTTGCCGCTTCTCATTCGGGTTCCACTCACACTATGGCTTGGCGTGTGATGTCACTTGATGGTTTTCTCATAGTATGGCCGATCAACCTCCGAGATATTATAAAGTTGTATAAGAAGCTAGTCAATAAAGGATTGTTTGGCGTTGATCGTAGTCTTTGAATGTTGTGTGTCTGTTGAACGAAGGTGAAATTTAGTTGAATCCCTTTTCACTCGGATCTGACGCATCTGTAGTCCTGATATCGTAGAAGCAGAACTAGATCTTCTGAAAGAAATCTTCATCCAAAATGAATACCCATCAAGATTCATTGACAAGAATATCAAACCAAAAGTTTAGAGGGAAGAAACACACCTTGTTTCATAAAGAAACTTTGCATAAACTTGGATTTCAAGGGAGACTTATCCTGTGATATCCTTAAGAGAGAGATTTGATCATCTTTGAGAAGAACATTCTTAGCAGTGACGCTGATAGTAGTGTCCTCCAGCTGTCCATTGGCCTGTAGAAGCCTTAAGGAAGAGATACCATATCTGACTACTTCTCTGTGCATATATCGGTTCATCTGTTTCTGTGAAGCTAGGTATATCGGGCGTTCGATGCGTATCCTGCGTAAAAGGGTTCAAGAACACTATCCCGCATGGTTGCAGAAAGGCAGTAGTGGTTCTATTAGGAGTGGGGTCATTCCATCTCAACAAACGCCTCCTTCAAAGTAATCTACAAAGTGAAGGACGTAGAACGTAGCACAGATGTGTAGCAGTTCTAGTTGCCACACTCCATGTAGCTCACTAAGCAAGAGAGGAGAGATTCAAAAGAGAGAAATAAACAGAGATATGAGGCAAAAAGAATAGTAGTGTGGAAGAACAATAGGGCTTTACTGGATATTATAAATCACAAAGAGCGGATGCATCTGCGCCATTGAGAACGATTTTTAGCCATATTACCGATTGTCTGAAGTCACTGGTTTTTACTATCTCGTGGACCCCAACCTGGAATTCTACACCTTCCTACGTGGCTTAAACTAACTTTTATGGATTTCATTGACTGATGAAAGCATGTTTTGGTTTGACCACCATCACTAGCTCTTTTCCATCGTGATCCATCCTATGTCGGCTAACATCGCCCGTCGAGAAAGGCGGTGGATAGGCTAGGCATGTGTAACACATGTCCTAACCATCTCAATTGATTTAACTTTGCGGCCTTGTCGATTGATTTCCCTTCTTTTTTTTACCTAGCACATGACGCTTGACCTCAATATTGCTCACCTTGTTGTATCACTTAACACGGGAGATAGAACGCAGACACCTATGATCAAAGACAGCTAGCCAGGCTTTCCATGTCTTCCACCTCCAATGGTCATGTCTCACAGACATTAAGGAGTAAAGAGTGGACTGTTGAGCAGTACACACGCCCTTTGGTCAATAGCCGGATATCACGTATATGCCAGAGATGGCATATGCGAACCGAGCCTTCTGTGCTAGTGCTGAGATTTCGTCAGCGATCAACCCGTTGGGGATGATGCATACAACTTCCCAAATAAGTGAAGTGGTCAACCCGCTCTAACAATTCACTTCCTATCTTTAAGCTAGGAGCCGATGTAGTCCAGTCCTGTGGCATGGGAGCGAATCTCATGCCAAACATTTGAAGAATGAAGAACAATCTACCAAAGGCAATACGCTTTCTTCTCCTTTGTATTACTGAAGCTCTAGTCATTTAGACAGATAAACTGGAACTATGTATACATAAGAAAACTGTTCACCCACTTCTGCTATCATGGTAACAACCATGTTGATTTCTGCGCATTTGAGTTTTGTTTATTTCTTTTTCTAACTCTTTATGATTGTTGTATATCTTTAGGACTCTTACACAGTTTCATATTTTCCTTCATTTCCATGTGCTGCATCCTGATTACAACTCATTCATTAAATTATTCACCTTGTTATTATATATTTCTAAGACCCTTATTCAATTCTTCTTGCATAATGATTAATATAAACTATGATTGTGGCAATGCGTCGGTGGCACAGCGGTAGAATGCTCGCCGGCCACGCATATGTTTCGGGGTTCAACTTCCAGCTGACGCATTTTTTTACGTCGCTAAGCCAGTAATAAGGCTGGTAAAGAGGGAAGGTTGGGCATAAGGCTAGCAACCCATCCTGTAAAAATAAACAACACTGCTACCGAAACTGCAGAGCTCAGCCGTGAAGCCCTATGTTCCAATGGGAACGTGAAGGAATAAAAAATTGAGCTGACATTAGTTAGAGGACCATTGGAAAACCATCTGGGAGTACTGGACAACTGTTTCGTCCTAGTTTGGGACTCTTCAGCAGTACGCGCCCACCGGGATTCGAACTCAGGACCTTCTGGTTACAAGGCGAGCTCGCATACCATTAAGCCACTGGGACCCGATCCAATGGCCCATGAATTCTAACTTCTGCCAATTCACGATATAGCGCGACCGCTAGTCAATGTCTTCGGCGAGTATTTGTCCTCACACGCGACCTGCTGCACCCTACTGGTCACGACTTCCCACTGGAACCCCAGGTAACTACCTACTTGGATAGGGCCAGTCGCCAGTGAGCATCTCATTGATATTCAAGTATTGGTTTGTAGGGATTTGGTTGATTGGTTACAGGATTTCATCATGAGCTGACATTGGTCCTGGATTCGAACCCCGGTGTGTGCGTACTGCTGAAGAGTCCAAAACTAGGACGGGGGAAACAGCTCTCCAGTACTCCCAGGTTTTCCAATGGTTCTCTAACCAATGTCAGCTCATGATGAAATCCTGTAACCAATCAACCAGATCCCTACAAACCAATACTTGAATAAAAAAAATGATTGTGGCAACTCATCACTTTTGTTACTTACCCTCTTTCATAGAAAGAAATGTATATAAATGCGAAAAGAGCCTCCTCGTTAAACTTCGTGTTTTGTTTTCATTAATTCTCTGGATGGGGGGATTATTCATGAACCTATAGTTCCTATCCATAAGACGGAAAATTAAGTAGCAAGCAAGTACTGAAGCTTATGATTCTGGGCGGTAGTGTTGACTAGTCTCATCTACCGAGATATTATTTATCTTTATATAAGAAGTTAGTCAATAAAGGTGCTAGTTTATGAGGTCAATTGGGCTTTCATTAAGTGTTGATAAACGAACGTTAGCCGCGAGACTTAATATTATTTTCCGTTTGAAACTGTCGTCAATTTTCTTTAAAGTACTCTCATTACCTTTATATTTTGGCTTTTTGATTTTGAAAAAAATAGTCCTGGTACGCCTTGTCATCAAGCTCTTTTATCGCATTTTGGACGAGAGAATATTGCTTCTCAAGAACCACCTTATCCAATAGATCGACGACTACTGGGGAATTTAGTTTTTTCTGATCCGTCTAAACTGAAAGAATTGAATTCAATCGTTTGGCCTGAAATACTTAAACAAATTTTCACCATCACAAAAGAAATAGAAAATAACGCTATGAAACATGGTCAACATTGTAAACGTCCTGTTGTTATTCTAGATGCTGCAGTACTTTTACAAGCTGGTTGGGATCAAATCTGCAATGAGGTTTGTTTTGTCTTGTGTTTTTGCATACTATTGGTTTTTAGGGATTTGATTGCTTACAGTATTTCATCATGAGCTGACATCGTTTGGAGAACCGTTGGAAACCAGTAGGGAGTACTGGACAGCTGTTTCTTCAGCCTAGTTCGGAACTCCTCATCAGTACGCACCCATTGTCAGGGTTCGAACCCAAGATCTTTGGGTTACAAGGCAAGCTTGTAGGCCATTAAGCCACTGGGACCTCGATCCAACGACTAACCCATGAATTCCAACTTCTGCCAATTCGCGATATAGCGTGACCACTAACCAATGTCATCGACGGCGAGCATTCGTCCTCACAGCCGGGGCGTATATTTTAAGCTTTTGTGTAAATTGTACCCATTAGATAAACATATGAACAGCATGCGGGTGAGTCTGTTTATATCGGAATATTGTGTTAATATAAAATTGTTATTTCTGAATTTCCCGTTGATCCATTTTATTGGACCAGAATGCTCAGCCTGTGTTCATATATTCACTACTAAGTACGGATGTTTCCACTCTCTCTTAATATTAGCATGATTTCACCCGGTCGCTATTATAATTCTCTTGGTCTCCGGGAAGAACATAAGGCTTTGGCAGCAGGACATCTTAATTTCACTCTGTTCTTTTCAGTCTTTTTTTAAAATATCTAACTCCACGATTATATCCATAAACTTCATATGATCTCCCCTGTATATCACCCTTGAAGGCTTTATGGCTGTGAGACCCGGCCATTGAGAGTGGAAGACATGAAAAGGTTAGCTGTCTTTGATCATAGGTGTCTGCGTTCTATCTCCCGCGTGAAGTGGTATAATAAGGTGAGCAATATTGAGGTTAGGCATTGGTCGAGTGCTAGGTAAGGCGGGGAAATCAGTCGACGAGACTGTGAAATTACATCGACTAAGATGTTTAGAACATGTGTTACGTATGCCTAGTCATCGCCTTCCTCGACAGGCAATGTTAGCTGATATAGGGTCAGGCTGGAAAAGAGCTAGCGGCGGTCAAACGAAAACATGGCACTAGTCAATAAGATCTACGACAGTTAGTCTAAGCCACGTAGGAGGGTGTAGACTTCCTGACTAGTTGGGGTCCTCGGGACGGTAAAAACCGATGGTTGGAAACAATTGGTGACATTGCTAAAAATCGTTCTCAGTGGCGCAGATGCATCCACTCCTTGTGACTTATGATTTCCAATTAAACTGTTTTGTTCTCCATTGTTACTATTCCTTTATCTCACACCTCTGTTTACTGTCTCTAATATGCATTTCTCCTACTTTCTTCTCTTGCTTTGTGTGCTACATGGAGTGTAGCGACTTGAACTGCCCCACGTATGTGCAAAGTTCTATGTCGAAAACTGACCGACCTTGAAGGCATGCTCAGTTAACTGGTCGTTTCCCGTTCGGTTTCGACTAGAGGTTCGGGGGGTGGGCATGATAGTAGAAAATTCAAGATTAATAATTTAATGGAAATAACAACTGATACTGCGTTGCACAAGAGGCGGTTGTCGTTCGTGGCCTAGTGGATAATAGCAGGACTTATATCATACCACAAAGACGATAGTATGATGGATTTTGAAATTCCCTCTTTCTTATTAATAAATAGACAGATTAGAACACAAAACCCATTGTTATGAATTAGAATAATTAAATTCACAATCAATCAATAAAATACTTTCACGTGTGGTCCATCTTTATCTAATTCTATTGCCTAACTCATTACTATTATTGATTATTTTCTTTTTGAAAAGTACGCTCTTATATAAGTTAAATTTGTCAATTTACTGTCATTCAAGGTTTGGTTGAAATTAAGCGTCATAAGTGTTCATATTTAACAGACAGACTGTATGAACAACTAATGTTATGCTTTCATAGGATTATTGTTAGCAGCCAAAGGATCTATATACCTTTCGTAACTGTCATTTTATCGAGGCAAATTTACTTTTGGTATGAAATAGATAGCTTTCTGTTGATGAAACTGATTGTTAGGTGTAGTGAAGTGATACTGTGACGTGTGCTACTGATAAGATTTGTCAGTAGTATATCAAGAGACCTTCACCAGTAATTAAAACATCAAACAACAGGGACATAGAGAAAGCAAATGATACAGCGTTGCGGAGAGACATGGGAGACGTGAAAGGAACACAATATAGGGTCGAGAAGTAGCACACCACGGACAATCTGTGCAAATGGTGCGTTGAAGAAAAGGTGTACATAATTTGTCTACATAGAGATACCAAATTGCAAATAAACATTCCTTTTTCGAATCTGTCGTCTCCTACCGTTACAAAACAAGAAAACTATGTTTGAAAGCCAATCACTTGTAGAAATCTATGCGAACTAATATGTCATTAGGGTTTACTCAGAAGGTCATCATGGCATTTAATTATCATCTCCATGGAGAATGAGTGTAGTGTCCCTAATTGCGCAGTATACTACTTTGAAAGTTAAAGTAGTCACTATTGGTTACCGATGATTTACGACAACAATCCATAAAATTGGAAAGTGATATGAGTGACGCTACAAATTATTCAGAACTGGAATGATCTTACTTGGTTAGTGGTGACTAGCAGTGGAATTCAAGAGGCGCGTTTCGTCCCATCTGGAACACTTCAGGTGAAGTGATGATGCTCTCAAACTGAGACTCGAACCCAACACACCTATCATGTCAAACAGTAACGCGTTATTCAATAGGCTACGACAGTCACCCTCCTGTACTTAGTATTCACGTTAACATGGTAGCACAGTGACTGACCATTTTGAGCCAATAAAATCACTCAAGAGAAAATTCAAAACAATGTCAGAGGAAAGCGAATGAGTGTTTCCAGTAACTGCTTCATTTCTCAGTCTGTACAATTAGTCATAAATGCACTTATGCTAACATACAATAAATACTACAGGTTATGTTAACAGCAACGGACGGATATCTGATTGGAGGACCTGATGAAATTACTGGAGGAAATTGTTCGTTCTAATTATACTTGTACATTAAGCTTTTGAGTGGAATCCGAATGTGAAACGACGAGTTGGGCATCCTAAAGTGATATGGAGGAAATCGTGTGAGAAAATGAAAGAAAGATCGGAGAGAAGCAGAGGTGTACTACTGAAACCCTATTCTTCCCAATACTAGCTTTTCAGTGTAGCGGTTACCATGGTTGCCTTCCTAGCTGTCGGTTACGGGTCCGACTCGTGGAGGACGCAAGTGGTTTGCGTCGTTGATTCAGCGGTAGAGTACTCACCAACGACTTACTTAGTCCGGGGTTCAATCTCCGACTGATGCACTCCTAAAACTTCACTAAGCCGAAACTCCAAAACTCTAGCTTGAAGCCCTATGTTCCACTCGTAACGTAAAGGAAGAAAATAAAACAATAGGTTTTCAGTCAGATATCCTAGGTTTTTTCCAGCACTACTTTCTACTGGTCTAGACTTTAACAGCTGAAATGGTACCCGAACCCATGTTTGACTAACATTCATTTGGATAAATTGAATCAGCTGGAAGATATTCTGATGATTTATATTAAGCCCACCTTCTGGATGTGTTTGACCTTAAAAGAATCAGTGTTTATCAGTTCACAAATCTGTTCAAATTGTATTATTTTAAAACAGCCTTTCTTCTGAACACCTTCAATGATAACCTTAAACCTCCAATCTATTTTTTTTGTCACCCTAGGTATGGTTAACTATTCTACCTCATTCAGAAGCTCAACGTCGATTATGCGAACGAAACAATCTAACTCCTGAGGCTGCATCAGAACGTCTTACACGACAAGCTACTGGGATTGCTGAAATAACAGGTGGTTATACATGGTTTGAAGCAGGTCAGTATTGTTGTACAAAAAGTCCACTAGACTATGCGCATGTAATTCTAAGCACACAATGGGAACCAGAATGTTCACAATATCAAGTTGAAAAGGCATGGAAAAAGTTACAACAAAGACTGCCAGTAACTTCGACTACGCAATAAGTCATTTGTTACAAAATTTCTATTTTAATAATTGAACCATCGTCAAATGTTTGAGACCACTAAGCATAATTCTTTGAATACGATAAAAAACAACAACAACCAGTTCCTACTAGTTACTGAAAGGAAGGGGATATTTGAAAAGAATGACTTTGTTATCAATTTATTTGTAATTTCAATGATTTCTATTACTATTCCATATTTTCTTTTGATTGTTTATAAATTCTATACGAAAATGTGTTATGACTAAGTGTTACTGAGTTGTGGGGTTTGTCTGGCTTGACTAAAATGCGCCTCCAGAACACGACACTGTGACCAACTGATCACTTGTTTATTTATGACTTGAATTTCCAATGTCAGACAACGACCACAGCAACTTTTATTAGACAGAATACATGGTATGTTATATTTACAAATCCTTAGCAATGTAAGCCATAAATAGACGAATCTGATTGGTTGTCTGACCTCAGAAAGTTAAGCCATAAATAAACGAATCAAAACTGCCCAACAAGGAAGATTATCACTTCAGTACATGCATAAGTTATGACTTCACGACTAACAAAGAAGCTTGTTCATCCTAACACTTCTCTTTTTTTATTAGTTCTCAATTGGCGGACCACTGGGAGATTCTCCCTCTATGATAAAAAGTCGCGTTTAAGTAGGCTATCAAGTTTCACAACCATATATACGGTAGAAGATAAAGTTAGTGAAACAATGTTCATAGATTTTACGTATTAGAATATCTGTGTGTCAACCGGACTAACAAATATTAGGATGGGACGTTTTAAAATGGCGTTTCTAGTGGAACATATGTCTTCAAGTTTTAAATTTTTCCGTGCTTACTATCGGCTAGTCAAGACTTAAGAATGGCTCGGTGGGGAATCGAACCCAGAACACGTGCATGACTGGCGAATCTTCTACGATAGAACCACTGAGAAAAACAAGAATGCAATGTTTAAGCGATTAACTTGACCTGAACAGTACTCAGTAGGCAATCTATTGAATGACATTGTATTCCATATATACTGTAAGAAAGGCAACATTATCTCACGTCCTTTTAATTCCTTTTGCTTTCCTGTCTATTTCATTTCGATAACCCTTTTAAAGAAATTGTTATTACCAGTATTGAAAGCGTTGACTAGTATGTACTCCCATCGTAAAATTTCTTCCAATTCAGTCCCACTGGTGATGTGACCCGTTAGCTTAAAAACTCGAGTTTTAGCCGATAGGTCCTGGGTACGCATCTCGCGTCATTCACTCCAGCCTGGGCAACTTGGTTGGTATCATCAACCTACGCACAATTTATTATTATTCCCTTGGGTTTCGAGTGGAGCAAACAATAAGACTTCAATAGCACATCTCCACTTCATTCTGTTCTTGGCAGTCTCTAGTTCTAGGAGTGCCCACAAGCTTAAGCCTTCTCCATGTCACTCTCGGACCTACGCCCAACTCATCGCTTCGCATTTGAGTTCCACTCAATGGTTTCTTCAGCGTGCGTCCAGCTTCACACCATAAATGTGGCCTATATCATATAAATTCGAAAACATACAGGCCCAAACCAACAAGTTGGAAGAAGAAGCAGCAAAGACGGGGCTTCAAGTGAACATAGAGAAGATGGAGGTGATGAAGATAGCCAACCAACCAACTACAACAAGCACCAATCACTATCAACGGAAGAAATTTGAAAGACGTCACTTCCTTCACTTATCAAGGAAGCATAGTTTCAAATACACGCGGAACAGATGGGGATGTCAAGACCAGCCGGGATCGGAAGGACAAGTCTGACCTTCATCACTCTGAAATCAGTATGGGAATCTTCTGCACTCGGTCAGCATAAACAACAAAACTCGAATTTTCAACACCAATGTTAAGTCAGTCACTTCTTTTATGTGGCGCACGCGTCACGAAAAGTATTCCCAACAGCTGCTTCCATACTGAAGATCAGATGGCTTGTCGGGAAGAATTGACAGCAACAAACTCTGGGAACGAACCAGTAAAGAACCTATTGATCAAAAAATATGCCGAAGGAAGCGGAGATGGATCGGACACACGCTGAGGAGACTGTTGGTTGACATCGGGTGTAAGGCCATTGCTCGAGTGGAACTTGAATATGAAGTGGTGAGTTGGGCATCCGAGGGTGGTATGGAGGAAGAGAAGATAAGGCTGCAGAGAACAGGACAAAATGGAGATGTTCTGTTGAATCCGTATGTTTCACTTGTAGTCCAAGGGAATAATAACTGTAATGGTATCCTAGTGCATCAAAAACCTGTCTTAGGTAACTGTGTTCGAACAGTATAACCTATAATTCAGTCTTGCCTAAATAAAGTTGACTACTTCTACTACTACTACAACTATTACCAATGATCACTTTATAAAGAAACAATGAAAATAGTATTTAATTGAGAAAGAAATATCAAATATTTGTATGGAACTAATAGCAATCGAGGAAATTGGCAAACTTATATACAGTAAGTAGATCACAAATTATTTCATGCATATGTTCTATAAATGTATATAGGAAGATTGTATAACCATGATAAGAATTGAAAGGGAAAAACTCTGAAATGATGTGATGAAAAGCAATCACGGAAAAAATGACCCCGAAAAAAAGAGAAGCAACAAACAGAAACACACATCATGATTACACATTGAAAATTTGTATTCATGATGTATATGAAAGAATTATTTCTGGAATACGGGTGTAAAATTGGAGAAGAAAACAAAAAGAAATCTGAAGTGTATTCATATCAAACAAGACAAGACAGACTGTCTGAGCTGTATGCACTTTTGAATGCAATGAGATTACACCGTGAAGTATTACGTAATAATAATAGATTTTAAGCGATGAAGGCAATTTATTAGCGTTTAAGCAGACACATACACGCACACGCACGCATATATGTATAAACAAAATAAATGGTTAAAACACACACACACGCACATCAGTGAATAATTCATATAACTGAGTTCTAAAATATTTTCTGATATTTAAATCTATACTAAAACTGAGTAGGGAAATAATATTAACAATTAGTTGGAGGCAAGTCAGGCCATACAGGATCACTGTCAATATTCGGAACTGTGCCTAGATTTGGATCGCTGGTTTGTTGTATATTCTGATAAGTGATACCATGCTGTGGGCGTACTGATGGACTGCCAGATAGAGTAATGATACCACCACCGCCGCCACTACCACCAACACTTCCGCCTGTAGTTGTTTGTCCACTTGGATGACGCATTATATGCGATTCACCACCTGATACATAAATAGGATAATTTATATCTCTGAGTTGTCTTGGTGTGCCAACATTTTCATCATCTTCCTCGGTTACATCACTAAAATGAGCTGAGGGAATTCTTCGTCCATCTGAAGGAGTTCGAATGATACCGGGTTGTTCATTAGACACTGTATGTGTATATCCACCACGTTCTATATTACTTCTTATTCCTGATACGGGACTTAAATTGCTAGCAGATGGAATCGGTGCAAAAGAAGTATGCGGCAACTGATACGAGGGCAGATATCCAGATGTGGTGAAAACGCCTACACCTGGCGGCACAGAGGATTGTGTAGAATGAAAAGCCACATCATCTCCAGCACCGACACCAGGAGTGCTACCTGTCATACCGCGTTGTGAGCTATATCCCCGACTGGATCCATGATTCTGTCGTTGTTGTCTTCTTCTGTGGAAAAGTTCATGTATATAAAGAGCACTAACTGACATATCTGCTGTTAACATTTCAGTTATGCCACAGCGACGTCCTCGCACACTTCCAATAAAACTGTTATTGAAACCCATATGTTGACTTGAACCATCTTCAATCTGTGAATTATAAGGTTGATAAAATGGAAGACCTAAGGTATCAGCAGAATGTAGGGCAGACGCTGCCATTAAACTCATTGTTATAGGCGTAGGTCCATCAAGCATTGAGTAGTTAAATGCAGTAGGGTTAAGCTGGGATCCAGTCATTTCTGAGTTGGGTTTAGGTAGTGCTGCCTTAGTCTCTGAAGCAAGTTTTGTAATACTGCTACCTGGTGGTAACTTGTGTGCATTACTATCACCATGAGTAATTCTTCGTATACCAGGTTCTGTGGTTTGAGTTTCACAAACATTAGGATCTGAACGATGCATCGATTGAGAGCCTGAACTTCTCATTGACTCAACCATAGCTCCTACAACACCATAAGTATTTTCTGAACGTAATCCAGAACCTGGTAAGTGAGAAACATTCTTTAGACCAAGTGAACTTTCCACGCAAGCATTAGGCAGTTGTGGATGAGTACTCTGATAAATACTAGTCATCTGACTGGTTTGTGGTCCACCATAAAGAGTTGAAAACATTCCCTGTGCTGGTTGTGAAGTTATCCTATCAACTTGACTATCATTTTTATAGCTATCCTGGAATTGAGCGAACTGTTGTTGTTGCTGTTGTTGTAGGTCTAATAAAGCCTGATTCCTAACTGACTTTAGATATGCTAAGCCATCTGGTGGAAGTCGCCAAGATGGATTAGTAAGATGAAAGTGCATAAGACTGAGTTCAATTTTACCACCAGCAGCGCTCTGATGAATCGAGCTAGTACAATTAGCTTCAATATTGGTATCTTCGCTTGTTCTACCAACAGTTGCAACATTAGACTGATCATGCGTAGGAGTTGTCTTCGATGTCCATTTAGCGTGTTTAGCAGCAGCAGCAGCCTTCTTTGAATAAGGATGAATTTCATCATTTGTATGCTCATGCTCATCATTATCATTATCAGTTCCACTCTGATCATCACTACCACTATCTGCATTTGGATGCCACATAGGATCACCATGACGTCGTATATCCAATTGTGCAAAGCTACAAACATCCCCGACACCTGGAACTTCAACAGTATAATTTCTTAAAAAATCAACAATTTCAAGTGTATGCTTAGGCAGAATAAAAATAAGGATTAACGGTGTAATAATAGGTGATAACAACTCTTCCAATAAACCAATCATACGATATTGAAATAATTGTGAAAATTCTGATCGAACTTGATACGTGCCAGCTTGTTCTTTCCAATGATCTGGCATATAATGAATACGCATCAGTGTTGAAACTAATAAACTCCGCGGACAATAGACCATATTCTCATCTGGTATTAAAGATAAACACGATCTAGCCAATAGACCACCACCGATAAGTATAGCCAAGTAACCAGGTAAATGCATCATTTGTTCACGTATAAGACTAGCAATAAAAAAGGCTACAGATGCTCCACCGAAAATAAAAGCCCCTGCCTCTGCTATCACTGTAAGCGGTCGTGATACAAAACTATCAAAATATCTTGAAGCTGGTGTGTACGCTTGCTTTAAACGTGTTCCGAATTCATGTTGTAATTCATTGAAATGTCGTAGATACAGGCGGGCATAATTTGACCAACGACGACCAAACAATGTTGACGGTTGATATCGAAAGCGTTCAGCATTGGCGCATATAAATGCTATTAATTGGGCAATAAAGATAATAGGCGCCATAGCAAGATTAATCAGGCCAAGAATACGTACACGACTAGCCAGTTCCACAGCTAATTCATGACGTTTTGTAACCCATTTATAATCAGCTCTTAATTGCCAATAATTATGAAATGGTGACCATGGTGTCCAGAATAAGATTAATTTTAAATTGAATAAATATCCATCAGGGAGATAAACAATTTGAGGTAGTAAATTCGATGATATACGATAACGGATAGGTATAATATCTTGATTAATCATTGCTATTAAATAATTTTTATGCCTTAGTATACGATTATATATATCTAATTCATCTAGATTAACTTTGTATACACAAAATTGAAAATCTCTTTGAGATTGTAACAGGCGTTGTTGTACTTCAGACCAGGTTAAATCTGACAGACCAGCATCATTTGTTGGCAGATCTAAGATATTTGTACAGAAACGACGAATCTCCCAGAATCGACTTAATTTGATGCCAACAAGTGTAATTTGTACTAGCATTGTTATCACAGCGCCAACAACTAATAACGAGGCAGAAAATGGCAGTGTAGCCCAGCATTGATTCGGTGGTTGGAAGACATCAGTCCAATTTTCAACATGAATACTACTATTGGTCAGATAACTCCATCTTGTGCATACAGACAGTTCAATTGTAATGAATATGACAAAGGCGAATTTCACTAGCCAAAGAATTTGCGCTAATAGGATCACCTGAAAATTATGCAAAGAAAAAAAAACAAGACAGATCGAAGGAAAGAAAATATAATAGAAATATATTTCTGCAAACTGTATGATAAGAAAAATTACGTCACATGACCCCCTTCCTATCTGCTCTTTTTTGTCTTCTCTTTTCGCTAATAATAATAACAACAATAATATAGTAGATTCGTTTGGGTTATTCACCTGACTAATAGTACAAAGTGAAAGCAAGAAAAAAATCAACTGGGAAATCGATTGGCTTCACATCCAAGGCTTTTTTCTCTTCTTCTTCTTGACCACTTCGCCTATTTGGGAAGTTGTATCAGCACCCACGGACAGAGTGGCGACGAAACCTCAGCACGGATCCAAAAAGCTCGAGCTGCTTTCGCTAAATTACACCATCTCTGGCGTAGGCGTGACATCCGACTATCAACCAAGGGACGTGTGTACTGCTCAGCAGTTCGCTCCGTCCTTCTCTATGGCTCTGAAACATGGCCAATACGAGTTGAAGACATGAATAGGTTGACTGTTTCTGATCATAGATGTCTACGATCTCTTTCTCACGTTAGGTGGCATAATAAGGTAAGCAATGTTGACGTTAGGCGTAGAGTGTTGGGCAAAGAGGGAAAATCACTCGAAGAGGCTATAAAGTTAAAGATTGAGATGGCTAGGTCACGTGCCGCGCATGCCTAACCATCGCCTCCTCCTCCCGACGGGCATTACTAGCTGATATAGGTGCAGGTTGGAAAAGAGTAAGTGGTGGCCAAACAAAAACATGGCCTCATCAATCCATGAAATCCTTGACAGTTAAACTGAGTCAGGTAGGGAGACGCAGAATTCCGGGTTGGGGCCCTCGGGACTCTAAGAATCAATGGCTGGAGACAATAGGTGACATGGCTCAAAATCGTTGTCAGTGGCGCAGATGTATTCAGTCTCTGTAATCTTCCATATTCCTTTCTACCATTACTCATTCTGTTTCACTCTTATACTTGTCAAAACTCTATTGATTCTCTTCACTCATTTTCTTGTCTACCTTTGTGTGCTATTTGGAACGTGGCAACTCGAACTGCTGCACTTCGGTGACAAGTTCTATGTTGAATCCAGCCAGCCAGTCTTTTTCTAATAACTAGATTGTTTCGTGTCAACGAAGTCTTCTAAGGTGTTGGTGGTAAAAGGCATAACTCTCTTAGATATATTTATTTCCTATTCTTGTCGATCAGTAATGTTTTCAAATAGGGATGGAAAAAAAACAACACGGCTAAAAAGCTAAATACTGAGTTCTACACTGTCAAGTCGGTTCTTCTTTTTTACGGTTTAGAGATTTGCTACGCATGTTACCAAAAGCATTTCCGACAGGCTACTACAGATTTCTAACAACAGCTGTCCACTTTGATTTACACTAAGGATCAGATAGCCAGCCAGATAGAATTAGCAACAAGGAACTCTGACGATGAACCAAACAAGAATATCAACCATCTTTGGACGTCCAACGACAGCGGAAGCTGGTTGAAAGCAAAGATGGTTGATATTGCTCACCAATTTCAAAACAATAATATATCGTCCAACAAATATTAGCCGAAGGAAATGGAGATGGATCCGACACACGCTGAGGAGACTGTTGGGTGACATCAGGAGCCAGACCGTTGAGTGGTGGAACCCAAAATGGGGAAGGACGAGTTGGGCGTCAGTTCGACGGTGACATGTAGGAGGACATAAGAGCTTATGAGCAATCGTGGAGCGAGCTAGAGACGACTGTGGAATACGGGATGAAATGGAGATGTGCTGCTGAACATTTATGTTCCCCTCGGGAGCTAAAAAGGATAATAGTATATAAATGTGAGTACTATAACCACCTACTTCATACTACGCCCTCACAACCAGAAGAGCAAGAAGTAGGGAAGGAGCAATTTGATAAGCTATTTATATTATTTTTTATATTTTTGATTACAGCTTGATGCCACACCGTATTTTCAGTACAAGTATGGAATTTTCAGCATGGATATCGGTAGCCCAAATTTTGCAGGTCGACCATAGATATCGGGTGTGCGTCGACAGGGGATCGAACCCCGGACCATGTCCATGGTCGGCGAAAGTCCTAACCACTGTGCCACCGACGCACAAGCAAACCAAGGATCATTGAATGAAGTGACTACACTTTCAGTTTAGAACTTTGCACAAAAGTGAAACAGTTCAAGTTGCCACGGATTTGTAAGTCCAAGGTCAAATTTTCATCACAGCTCATACAATTTTGTTTTGTTTATTATACATGTTGATACCTGTTTCATGACTCATGATTGGACAAAGTTTTTTTTAAAAAAAACAAGAGATGTTCCTTTTATATATAAACCTTTGTTATGTTAATTTCAATTAATTTCCCTGAAGAAGTTCGGACCAGGTTGCCGAAAGAAACGTTGGAATTACTCATTTCAATTTCGCTGAGATTTTACAAATTACTTCTCATTCGGCGCCCAAATATTTTAGAACTATTCTGTCAAATCTTGACGACAGTTCATTTGAATTGCCACGGATTTCATAAAGCCATACATAAAGGTAGGGGGTATATAGAGAGAGGAAATGCAATGAAAATGTACGGGAGAAGGAATAATTCAGATGAAGAATAATGAGAATTTAATGAGTCTGGAAGGTCAAAAGAAGTAAATACGATACTTTAATTAGACGTTAGGCAGTGAGTAATAGCATGTGTCTAGTCCTTGGTGTTGGTGCAGATTGAATTCTATCAGTCAAGTTTGCAATGTGGTTAACATGCTAGGTGGCTTGGCGTCACGGTACATACTGAAGTATTGTTATTAGATGATTGGAGGCAATCGACAAGAAACCTTGGACCTAGGTATTGGGCTTGTTGGCACTTACTAGTCGGTAAGGTGTATCTGCAATCTTGAAGGAACTCATGTCCCTTCTGAGATTCGAACATGCATCAACCAGTGCTGCGAGTCAGAGACGTTACCAGGGAGCATGACATTAGTTACTGCCGAGTGTTCAACCAAAGTGTCTATTACAATCCTAAAGAAAGTCAGTCGCGAGCCTGAATAGCTGAGTGGTAACATCTCTGACCGTAGCACTGCGGGACGCAGATTAGAATCTCAGACGGAGCATGAGTTCCTTCAAGATTGTATATACGCCCTGCTGACAAGTGCCAAAGAAGCACGAAATTCAGATCCAAGGTTTCTCGCCAAGAACAAGTGAATACAATAAGTAACCCATTGAAAACAATTTTCAGCCATGTCAACAACAATCTTCAATCATTGGTTTCCAGCGTATCGACGACCCCAAGCCAGGTAGTCTACACCTATCTTATTCGTAGTCATGGATGACTACAATACTTATATCCCATATCAAAAGAGGCAATAGTTGCTTCTTCAAAATAAGCCTTGGTTATGAAATAATAGAGAGGATTTGATACTCAGGTGGATGATTTTTATGTGGTTGCATTCTCTCAGCTGGTTTATCTAGTTGCGAAGCTCTCATTAAATTGAAAATATGCTATAAGACATAACTTTATGAGCTCCAGTCAACTTGAACATTGTGCTTTTGTGTGTGTTCATCACTGTAGACTAGTTGTTGCATAGTTTCTATTGCCAGTTTTTGTCGAATTGTGAAGTGTGTAATGCAGTGTGGTCAAATGACACCATGATTTCATATCTCTACTTGAATGGTCTTGATTTTTCCCCTTTAAAATTGGGTTGGGGAATTTATAAAATGGTTTCATGATTCTGTTACATATTTTAGTTTTGTTTTTTTGAGAAGTTGTTTGGATAGATTATAGTGTTAGTGTTCCTGGTAGCGAAATAATTAGTCGTAGGGGAATGTTTAGTTTGTGTAGTTTCAACCTACGACCAAAGTTTGCGCTGAAGATGTTTTCGAGGAGGACAACGAGAGCCTCTCACAATTAAATAACCCACTCAGAAAAGGCAACCACAGCAAAAATTCTTATTAAAAAAAAAGTAAGATACTACTCAGAAATAGATGTACCTTCACCCTCCACCTACTCTATCCACGTGATGGATATCACAGCCACCACATGATCAAAGTTGGCGTATTATTTCCATCATTATAAAAGCGAATGAATTATAAGGTGTTTAGTTAAATATAAGTTGGCCTTCGCTCTTATATGAGTATTAAATACAAACGACAAAAAACACACACGGGTAAACTGACATAAGTACGTAAAAATTGATATTTGAACAATAAAACTAAGCAAATATGTTGAAATAGTTGAAGTGACAAAAAATTGATCCAGAAAATAGTTCATATTTACTCAGAGAAAAAGAATCAATGAGAGGAAAGGTGAAAGAATGAGAAGCTATCGAGAAAAAAAATCTATATGTATATATACATGTATGTAATTTGTGGTAACCACTCAAACAGCTATAGGTTAACAAACAGAATTGTTTATTACTCGGTTGGTGGTGTTTGGCAGTCCTATTTGGAACTTGTCAGGAGAGTATACTTGCTGTTATTAGATGGTTGGAGCAATCACTAGGAAGCCTCGTCTGACTTAGGTTTCGTGCTCGTTCGCACTCGTCAGCAAGGCATATCTGCGACTATAAATGAACTCATGTCCCCACAGATACGCCTTGCCGACGGGTGAGTGCATTCCCAGTGAATGATAGTATTTCCACTGAGACTCGGATCCAAACCCTTTCACATTCCAAACGTCAGGAGGTTATCTCCCACTAGGCCACTGGAGACACCTTTTGTTCAAAGAGAATTGGTTATTCTGAATTTCCCGTTAATTGATTATATTGAACTGAAACGCTCGATCTCTGTTGACGTGGAGCATTTTGATCCTATATGATCAATATAAACGGGAAGTTCACAAATAACTTCAACAAATAAGCGCACACCGTTCACAAGTGAGGGTTTGTGGAAGGAAAGAAAGGTACCTACTGATTGGAAAAAAGACTACCTTGTTAAACTACCAAAGAAGGGCGGCGTATGCCTCTGCAAGAACTGATGCAGAATCCCGCCCTTGTTCACGCCGAGCATCATCC